AGCCTCGCCGCCCATCAGCGAGAACATGTAAACGCCTCAGCTCAGGGTGAACGAAACGGGGGAGGAGGGGGGACGGGGCGGGACGCGGCTTGTTACAAAACCAAGGCTCGAAACTACAAGCGAGTGGTATTTATTATTTCTTTGGAGGAAGCCCAAGCTCGAGATTCGTACGTAGAGAATTTGCTTGAAAGTTAGCTCTTGCGTGGTCTCTGGGTCAGGCTGCTGCTTTTAAATTAACTGATAATAGCCTTACATTTTGACAAAGCAAAAGCAAGTTATTTCTGGCTCTCCCTGCAAAGGACACCCTTTGTTACGTATTATTTTTAGACTTACAGCCATATTCGAGATCTGGAGGGTTTTACTGCAATACATGTCTGTGAGGCAGCTGCACCCACATGCTTAAGAAAAACCCCAACTTTGAGCTAGCCCAGCCTGAGACAAACCCTTGCCTTTGCCCATCGTACAGAACACGTCCCTCATGTAGTAAAAAGCAAACAGTCAAGAGTAGGTATGATCCTCTTTGCCCATCTGTAACAACCATCCACTGAGTAAAGCTTTCTTCAAAACAACTTGCCAATTAATTCTTACATTTTCTCTAGCACTACTGTGTTTGCTTGCCTCAAACAGCAGTTAGTCCTACAATAAATTTATGACTAGGAAATCAGAAATAGATACACCTGTCATTACTTACTTGTAGAAAGTGAATTAAGGTCCAGAAAGCTTAAGTAACTTTGCTGAGGAAATCCAGTAGAATAGGCAAAGTGCTTTCCCTCCCCCCCATCAGGGACCATCCAGTATGCTGATCTCTTAACAAAACAGAAGCTATTAAAACAGCTAACATTTGTGCAGTGCACTCAGTGTAGAAATAGATCTTTAGGATCAGATAGGCCCAGTAACATCAATTTCCAATAAAAAAGAAAAAAGATTTTATGAACTATAGAGGCCATCTGGCCATTTGTGTACTTGCCTGTGAGGAACTACTCTCCAGTTACATCGCTTAAGCGATCCTACCATCAGTCCCAGAAGTCTTACAACATGCTGATTAAAGTTAATGTTGTTGCACTGGAATTCAGCTTGTGATAGAAAGATACTAAAGAGGGAGCAGCATACTAAATCATACACATTAGGGCGCAAAGTATAAAAATGACTAGAAATGATAAATATTGTCAAGAAGCTAATAAGAAGTATAATAAAAGTCTCATTTATGAGAGAAAACGTTTCTTTATCTTTTAAGCGATAATCCACTGTGTATCTGCCCAGCAGCTGCACAAATACTTTATAACTGGAGACAAGTTTTCCACAGAGAACTTGATGGTGTCCATACCCTCACGTGTCTGATGCACAAGTAAGTCTGGCACTTTCCCAGTTTCTTTTTTCTGCCAGGTGGACTACAGCATTCCGTAGCTGCACATCCCTTCAATAATGCAGTGTTCCTTACTGATATTTGTATCATTTAGCCATCTTTTTGTAGTTTAAACTCAAGCTTTATTCTCTCTAGTAAGCTCTACTTACATGACTTGTTCTTGAGATTCATCTTCCAGCTCTGCCTGCCCTGTGCAAAGGGCACATTTGGTAAAAACACTCCATCCATAAGGTATGAGGTCTTAAACTTCACACTGATAAAAACAGGAAGTGGCAGTTCCAAAATTCTTTCATTAAAAAGACAGCAGCAGCATCACTGATTGCCACAACCTATTGACCAAGGACTCATAGCACAGCCTGAATCAATCACGACAGTGTGCTATGGTGCCAGGACCCGATCTCCTAACAGATTTGAAATGAAAAGCTTCTGATCCACTTTAGCCTAATGCAGAAAGGCCTCCCTGCTCCTCAGATTCTCGACAGAATTTCAAAGAACTGCTGAGCTTCATTTCCTAGTGCCCATACTGAAGATGGTGTCTCCACCTCAAATTACTAACATGCAGGCAGGGTTCGTCAGTGTTCTAGATCCTCTCAATTATTCTCAGTAAGAAGGTATGAGGAGTTTTCACTACAGACTGTCCAGGCTCTGGCACAGAATGCATGCCATTCCTTGATACGGTACTTCAGAGCAGTGACACAAAGATCAGGGCAGGCTCAACACATAGTTCAGTATTGGGAGCCTTACACTTTCGAATCATCTCTCATTGACCTTATGACAGGTTACCAGATCAGAATCCTCAACCCCTCCATGTTAAATATTAGTATGTTAGCCCATATTATTTCAAAATGCAACAGTATGTAGTATTGTCTGGGGCGTTTGACTAGTCATCAGCACACGCTTCTATAATCTCAAAGATCTGCTTCCTCTGCCTTTTCCATCTCACAAGTGAGACTTGGTGCCTCAAAATAGTATTCTTTCTAGTTTTGGACAAGGAGAAAACAATTCTACTGGGATACCATACAATTTCAAGCAAAAAATAACTGGCCCTCTGAACCATAGTTTGATGGCAACAGGACCCTCGCCACCTTTTTTTGGCACTAGCTCAACGTGTGCATGGGGCTTCAGTCCCAGTCCACCAGAATCTTCACACCCCTACTTGGCAGCATCAAGTTTTTATTCAAGTTGCCACTGCTGACTCACCCTGCGTGGAAGACTTCCACAGAAGGAATATCTTCCGCCTACCAGCTTTCACCTGCACTAGTTATCAAATTCTCAAGAGAAACATTTCAAAAAGGAAGGATCATGTAAACAAACACAAATACTATTTATCTGCTTTGACATCCTCCTCTTTCCTTGCACAATGAAACTTCATGAGGCACATTTCTACATTGCTGAAGTATATCACCTACATAGTATCACCTTTGTCTTGCAGATTAATAAAGATCAACTCAGACTTCCCACAGCACTTAAATATTGGCAGTGGTGCTGATCTTCCCTGGATAGAACTCCGTACCCCTCTCCCGATCTCAACAGCTGGCTGGTGAAGGGACAAGCAAGAGGCAGAGTCTACTCCACACGTTCCTTAGAACCTGCAAGAATCCTTCCATTTTAAGATAGGTGTTGGACTGCCATAACATGCGTGTGTGGGTCTTCTTCCTATCACAATGACAAATCTGCCTAACCTTGCTAAGTCATCATGATGCCTCTGTATGATGCCTCAAGCCAATCTATCCCTATAAAGTTTTCAAGTCTGGCTTCCCCACTATATGGTTTACACCTTCAGACTCATCTATGCATGATGAATATTCCCCCCACCCCCGAATATGGTCTCATAAGATACAACATTACTATGGTCCTTGCAGCCCGCAAGGGGATGCTTTTTGATCTCACTTACCTCATCAGTCATGGTATATGGCACTGGCAAAGTACTCACGGGCATAACTGTGCAAGGCTGGTTGTTCCCAAACTTCACAGAAGCCAGAACAGCATGAATTGTGGAAGAGATGCTGCAACCCTATCAAAAGACACATTACAGCAGTGCACTGACAAACAAAACCACAACTGTTTAACTTCAGTCTGTGAGGTGGTGTAGTGTCCCTCCACCTCTTTTGGCTGATCTTTGTGAACTAGTATATTTAAAGACAATTCCACATATTGCTGATCCATCTCCTAGTTATCATTGATACTTCGGCAGAAAGGCTGACTTTTTCATACTAGACTGAGTGGGATATGTGGTCCAAAGTCCTAGATCACAATTCCAGAATGGAATTTGGCTTCAAATATGGAAGAAAAGTGTTGGCCCTTTTTACCCCTACACGTTTACTGAATATCTTCCTTGTTCTCTGGTTAGGAAGAATTGTCTGCATTTTCTTTTTCATTCCTCTGATCTTGAAGTTTTAGCCATATTATGACAAAAGGGTGAGTAAAGATGAAATAATATTTGTCTTCATGCATGTTCACCAACTGCTAAGGAGTCGAATTTTTTTTGTTCTTATGGCCTCACTAACTTACTTCCTGCACGTACCATCTTTCTCATCCTCAGGATCAAAGTGGTTCTCTATTTATAAAATTGGTGAGAAGACCCTTTAGATATCCAGAACAGTTCATGTTGATCCAAATGAATAGTCTTCACTGAAATATGAGTTTTAAAACAGACTGGAGGCTGTGTCAATAACCTTTTATGGTACTGATAAAGACAGAGTCCTTTTATCATCAGAGCTCCACCAGAACTCAAGCTACATCAGTGTGCTTACTAAGAAATACCTCTGTGAGTTGCATCTGCTAAGCAGTCCTATGGAATGTTATCTGTAGATAATACTTAAAGACCATTTGACAGTCTTTAAGCTGTACAGCTGCTATGTGAAGGCCCTTACCCCATTTCCATTTAAGCATTTGTCGGAACTACTGTTTGGAGTCACCTACTGCAAGAAGAGGTATGTAGACTGTCACTTGCAGACAGAAAGATACGTTAAGCAGTTCGTTGAGATACACAATTGACAGGGAAACCTGCTTCCTGCCTTACTTACCCTTCCACTCTCTAGCTTGAATCCTTTAACATCATGTACCTTTGGGATTTTGCAGTTATAAGGCACTCTCTACCATATGTGCTCGTAACTGTTGCATGATGGAAGATGGGGCTTGAGCTCACCCCTACGTACACTGCAAAGATAAAAAAAAAATCTTTGGTATTAGGATATACATGAAACCATATGTAAACTATACTTCAAACCAAAAAAGAAAAATTCCCCAAATTACAAAATGCTGCACCAAAAGCACAAAGCTTCCCCACCTACTCACCTGTAGGTCTTCTAAATAGCAAAACTACTATCTACTGGAGACTATTTTATCGAGCACAAACCTTTGGAGCAGAGTAATTTGCACTCTTACGTATAACGATATCGTTGTTCACAAAAGAGCAGACAGAGCCATAAACAAGGGAATAGTATTCCACTTCTCTCCCATCATTGCCTCTTTGGCATTAATTATTCAATTCCTAGTGTTTACAGTTTGGCACCTTTATTATGTTCTGCAACAGTAACTCCACCTGCAAAGGTCTTTATGGGAAGCTATTCCTGCCAAATGGTAACTGCCATCAGAATAACCCTTCATAAACAAGTCACCGATTTTCTGTTTAGCTCCCAGAACTGCCTTCCTGCACGATCAGATGAAATTGATTGCCAGCGCAAGGAAAGCAGCAGGAAAGTATATCCAGGGTTTGGGAGTGCCCCTTCAGCATCCCTAGTTACTGGTCATCAAAAGAAGCTGCATGTTTAGAATTGGAGTGTCTGTCAATTCACATAGCATAACTCATCAGGTTTGGATTTGAGAAGACACCCGAGTTCATGTTAAACAAAGTAACTGCTTAAGCCAGCATAACCCATGTAAACAATATTACTGCAAATACATTATTATTTTCTCTCATAACCCTTTCCTACTCCCTGATCCTTTCCTCTGTGCTGGAAACAGCCTTCATCCAAGCAAAGAAAAGTTACTCACTGCCTTCATGAAGTTTATAATACATAAAGTTTATTTTATTTATTAAATCCCTTAGAGTGACTTCTCTATTCTCAATTCCTTGCTGTCAGTATCAAAACTTGCAAGTGTAATACGTGATGAAGTATAAACTCTGAGTGAAATTGTTTTCCTGGTTAGGTCACTCACAAATGCATATCTCCAAGACACGATCTCCAATGTTTACAATGAGTTAATACTTCAGCCTTAGTATAATTAAGTTAAAATTCAATCAGCAATGAGACACAAATCCAGTCTTAATTACTTTACTACCTCTTCCTCCTTCATTCTAGAGGACAAACCTGGTCTGCAGATGATTAAGACGGTATGCAGTGGAGGAAGCTTTGCTGTTAGAATCCCTAGTCATTTACCGCAGAAGAAATCCCAAAATAGATGGGCTTATTCAGAATTAAAACCTTGTCTCCTCATTTACATGCGGAAGGACTACAAAGCAAGGTGACATCAAAATCTGGGGAGGAAAAATAAAGTGAAAAAATAAGTCAGAAGCAAGACTTAATACATGACATCCACAAAAACCCCCAAACAAACAAGAGAATCAGACATGGCTCAACTTCTTCTGTTCAGAGAAATCCAACTCGTATGTATCATTTAACAAATAGTAATGAGCCCTATGCAGGTTTTCTTTGCTTTGTCTGAGACACGTCTACCACCTCGGCCAGTGCCTGATGCTGGCTAATAAGGAGATTTTCCAAACTCACGCATACGTAAATCAGTTCTGATATATGACTTCATAATGCAGACAGAATCTCAATAGGCTCAAAAAAATGCTAGAATAGGAACTTCAAATTGAGCACTCCTGAAAGACATATTCCAGCACCACCCTCACTCCACATAAAGGGTAAGTATGAATAAATCCTGTGAACAACCTATCATATGCTCAACTCGAAGTCAAAAATCACTGACATATACCTCTGATGTACTATAAATCCAGGATGATAAAGAGATCTGACAGTTGTGTTTGTAACAAATGAAGTAATTAATATAAAAGCACAAAGGCATCATGGTTTTGGCAGTGAATGCTGCTTAAAGTTGCTCACAACTGCTGTGTAACTGCTTATTCTTTATTTTCTGAGCACCCAAATTGACACCTTGGATCTGATCAGCAGGGCCAGCTGAAGTTAATGGGGTATGTATGCTAAATATGTAAGTACTCTCCTACGTTGTGTTCTTAGAAATCGTACCCTTGTAATACTAAATTGGACGTCCAAATTTAGTACTTCTGACCTCTATTTTAAGGTTTTGATCATTGTTGGCACTGTCTAGATAGGGTCCTGGAAGAGGCTAGAGTCTATACAAGGAGGAAAAGAGATCATTTTATTAAATATATTACCTCAGTGCATACAAAAGGCAGCAATTCTTTGTGCTTGACTTAAGAACTATTATTTCTTGATATAGTCTTCATGATTTCATATGGAAAATGCATCACTGATGCAGAAGTTGCTAGAGGTGAAGCCAAAAGTTTGAGTGATTCAGTAAGGAAAATAATCTTATCAAAGCAGGTTTGGAGATAAATACATTAACTGCCCAATTCTGCTAAAACAAGGTAACAGCAGCAAAATGGTTAATACTCCCGACACTGGTATTATCAATATGCCATTATTACACAATGTTTCCAAAGGTATACAAATTCAGAAAGACAGAAGGACATCAATTTATCATTGCAGTATCAATGTTATCTTTACTACCAAGAAAGAAATGGATGGAAGGAAGGAAAAAAATCAGATTAAGATGAACAGCTCAGTGACTGGAGAGACTCTGGGACTACAGACCACAAAGCTCTGTCTGCAGCAACTGAACATCTACAATCGTCTAATAACATGTAACATAATATTGACAGAGAAATAGGTATATTTAAGGCATATTTTAAATTCTGTCACAGTAGGAAGGGATACAAGGATTTCATCTAGTTTCCAACTGGTTTTAGGCTCTTGTTATAGCCTCCCTGGGAGAATTCCGAGTTCAATGTGCACCCCAATATGAGAATGGCAGACAGTTGGTTACTTACGGTTATTGCAGTGACATTTCCTTCTTCTCTGAACCTGTAACACTATTCTCCAGAGAACCCAAACAGTTTCTTTGGGAGCATGCTCTCTTAGCTTTCTGATATTCTACAAAACATAACAGGGAACCAGGTACTTGTAGTTTGCTCCAGGGACTGGAGTGAGAAATGACTTTTTTATATTAATTTCATATCAGATCACTTTTAATTCACGTCAGGTTCAGCTAAACATGCAAATAAAGATGTTTATCCACAATATCAGAAGCAGATAACAAGTTTATAAAGGCATAAATGGGGGAAAATGAAAAAAAAAATTACTCTTCTAAAGTTACAGAAGAAAGGTTTTGGTTTCTTCCTGTCAAGATGTCTTGCACAGACTTCCCTTATATTCATCTTGCCAAATGACTGTGTTCTTTCACATACTTACACCTCAGACTGCATACTTTATAGAGAACCTCTCTTTAGACTATCACTACACCAATGCTGCCACGTTCACCACAAGCTGGCAGTCTGGAGCCTTCTCTAGGAATTGTGGTTACTTTTTCTTTCCTTTGTAGTCATGTCACCAGATCACCACACCATCATGTCATTGTTTTAGTCTTCATATTACTTGGTTGTTTGTGAGAAGACTTTCTGGCCCCAGCTTTGCTGAGATTTTTAAGACCTACTTTCTTAAGTTTCCGGTGTATATTTGTCAAACAGAAAGAAGATTCAGCTATTTCACTCAATCTGTGATACATATCTATAAATTATATACTGAACTACTGATTGGTTCTCAAGCCACTTAGAAGATAATTTAAAGAAATAACCAACTTTCATCAATCTCAAGTTTCACCAACCCTTAATGAAATTTTTGGAATAGGATGTATGAAAAAAATGAAGAGGTACAGAGAGATGCATACAGAAAGAGCAACAGGCAGTGGGAAAGCACAAAGTAAATTTCCAGTCTTTTTTAATTTACTGTACAATTTTTTACTATAAATTGGGAAACTCTTCAAAGTCATAGCTGTTTTGAAAAAAAAAAGGCAGTTGAAAGAGCCAGATATTCTAATACTATAATGCTTTCTGTGGTGTGGTAAGTCTATGTAATTCGGAGTAAAATTCAACATACCTGTTACAATTTTATAGTTCTCTAAGAGATGCTTTATGAGATGATATATTTCTATTTATTATTTTTATTGCATGTTAAATAATCACCGTAATTACCTGTCAACAGACTGGTGATAGAGGCTTCTTAGCTAAGCTCTCACACCTCTATCAGTGAGTCTAGTTGGCAGACCTGGCCAAGACCAAACTTAATTTTTAAGTAGTTATATTCATATAAATGCACTTTTGTAACAGCGGAAGCTGAGCAGGTCAAAGTAACTTCACATCAAATCACTTCGGCCTCAGTTACTTGGCCTCAATCATCTATAGCAGCAGTTCAACTGTATCAGCAAAAACACAGTGTAAGTTACAAAGTTGTAATATGGTACTAAGAAGGACTGCCAGCACACAGAGCAATAGCTGTTTTGTTGTGACTTTGTGTAGCGTATGAATGAAAAAAAAAAAAACTTGACATGAGATTTCCAAAGGAAACATTAACCATAAGAGATCATTTACTTTGTTGACTGGCACTATCCATTTAGAAGACCGCCCCAGTACTGTAGGAGTACAAACATACAAATACTATAGAAGAATATTAAAAAGCGCCACTATTTCAAATCAAAAAGCAATCAACTGATTTCTTCATCCACTGCCATATATCCACCAAAACATTTTTTTACTAAATCTGTTCAATTTTTTAAAAAGGAAAAAAAATTAACTGATGAAAACAACTCAGATCAAAAAACAAGTACTTGCTTAAGCACTACTTCTCTCTCTAAACACTATCTTGGTCTAAAACTTAGCATTACTTTCAAACCAGTGCTGTTAATATTCTTCTCCTGCTTCCACTCCCAAAGGTAAGATGCGACACTGAAGTTGAAGAAACAGAAATCTATGACTGCCACTGGGAATTTGACAACAAATGTTGAAGTCTCACCAGATCATATCTTTACCCAGCTCCCTGTAGAAATGACATACATTAAAAAAAACAACAAACCAAACCAAAACACAACACCCTGCTTCACCCCCACCCCACCCAAAAAGCCTGGATCCCGAATCGACAACCTTGACTAATCTTTCTCCATGACAGAAGACAACCACCAACCCACACCTGAACACCAAAACTGGAGGAGCTTTATCCAGAAAAATTCCAAGATCTCAAGCATATAGTGGGCCACCACTTCGCTGAACTGACACAACACATATCCTTCATCCCTGAACAGCCTTCCCTGTGATGGCTACGGAGGAGATCAGATTTAAGTGTCATATAAAGTGCCCCTCCTGAAGCAGACAGTGGCTACAAGTACAGCAAAACAGAGCCCAGAACCAAGTCGAGTGCGCATTAGACCACAAATACATATCAAGGTGGGGTTTTTTTAAATGCAAATATGCACAATAGAGATTAAATTCCCGAAGAGGCGAGGGCTGCGCTCAGGCCAGCAGCGTGCCCGCGCTTCAGCGGAGCGACGCCCACGAAGGCCTTTCCTCGGGGTTTCGGCCAAGGGAGGCTGCCCGCCCTTCCTGAAGCCGGGGCTCTGCCGGCAGCCCGCTGCGAGCACGCCGCTCGCCAGGCACCAGCTCCC